CCCTCGACGGAGTTGCGGTAGAGATCCTCACTGCCGACGGAGATACCGACGACGAGCTTACCGAGCTCCTCACCGTACTGGGAGATGGCAGTCTTCAGGGCGGTGATTTCGTTGTCCATGCCACCACCGGAGGCCCAGAGACCGAGCAAAAGGGAAGTATCCTGAGCAATGGCGGCGGGGATGGCCTCGATGACATCGCTGGTGGAGTAGGCTTGCTATAGAGCAGTTAGCAGATGCGCAATCATTGTCATCTGGGTGGGACGTACGATCATGGTGTAGAGACGGGCGGAGGTGAAGCCGGAGGTGGTCTTGAGGTTCTTGGCGGCCTTGAACTCGGCCTCGAAGTCGGCCTGGAACTTGGAGCTCTCATCGGAGAACTTGTTGCCGTAGTTGAAACCCTGGTAGGCGGCCTCGGAGGTGGCCAGGGTCATGGCGAAAGCGGCCAGCTGGGCGAGCTGCATCTTGGAGAGCATGGTGACGGTCGTGAAAAAAGAACGTAAGGGATTATAAAGAGTGAGTAAGGTGGGAAAGAGAGTGAGACGCTACACAGAAAGCTGAGAGCGATGGGAGGGAGTGTAAGAGAAAGAATGGAATGAACAAGGAATAAACCGAGTTCTGAGTTGGAGAGAGAGAGGATTGAAGAGGAAAAGAGAGAGAGGAAGAGGAGAAGAGGAGAAGAAGTAAGATGTATGAGGGGAAAAGAGAGAGAGACGACAAGGGAAAGGAAACTAAGGGAGGCAACCGAGACATTCTAGACTCGAGGCCCGACCAGATTGGCCTGAACCCGGAAATTCGGCCGCCCCGTCAGTAAATCTTGTAGCCAATGGGAGAGACTCGTGCCTGAGTTGGACTCCACCCGACCACTGGGAGATAGTGGAGTTGTGGCTGCCACATGGTCCAATCAGGAATGTCCCCGCCGGGATGACAAAAGAGCGCAGTGGATCCGTGGTTACCTTGGCGAATGCTGGTTGGATCCAGGGACAGCCACGAAATTGACACCCCGGCAGCCGAGTGGCAAATCACAAAGGCACAATCAAGACTAACCATCCAATAGTAACGGGATAAAAATAGCAAGCTATTCTTAGGGCCGATGCTTGTTCTTCATAAAAATAATCACCCATTTCATTTCAACGGTAATTAACTGATTTAACTGGTTTGAATGGATAATAACTGGCGGAGTGGGGGAGAGTTGCTTCTAGCCCTTCTCCTGATGCCCCCCTGATTCTCTTTGTCTTGTCCTTTGATCCATTTTGTGGATATTGCCTTGCCAGCGTCCATGATGGATTCCGGCACGGATTCCCCCTCTTCCCCCCTCAGCGGGGGCTTTCAGGGAGGTCACTTTTCTCTGGATTTTGGGGGGGTGACATCCAGGCCGGGCTTTGACAGTACCAAGTTAGGTTTTGGTGTTGGTTGACGGGAAAATAATCAGCAATCCTTTCCTTCTTGGATGAACGGGTTTCCATGTTTGGCCCCAACCGGCTGACGCGGTCGGGCAGGACATCCATGCAGGAACGGTCCAGGCACACCCAGGGGTTCCTACAGTAGTGGTTCACTGTGGTTGATGCTAGTTACTGTGGATTGATTCATCTACAGGGTAAACTCCCCTGCTCGCACTGATCACATCGTCTGGTTGTCACCAGACAGGTCATCTGCCGAGCATCTCTTCCTGCACCATCATCACACCACATCAACGCAAGCAACATCGAGGCAATTCCAAACCTGCCAGCCAGCATCAACCCGGGGGGCATATTCGGCCCCGGAGGATTGTGTTTTGTCCCGTAGAGGCTGGAACCCGACCCCAACTGTTGCACTGCCATACATTCTAGTTATGGTAGTAGTGTTGGTGTTTCCGATTGCAGAGAGGTGGAAAAGTACATACAGGCAGATCTGGTGCAACCTGACAAATTTTAGATCTTCCTATTTTAACTCCAGGAATTGATCTTGCAACCCTCGGAACATGGTTGCGATGGTGAAAATTTCATTGTGAGGGTAACAATTCAAGTGGACAAGGACAAGGCACATGGCTGGGTGGGATCGAGATCTGACCCGAGGTTACTTGACTTTGTGACTAAACAACGGATCTCGACGGTCCCTGAGAGACACGCATCCAGCAAAGATCGTCCATCCTCCACTTCCCATCTTCCCATCTCTCCCGGTCAGGGCTCAATCCATGTACCTGCGTTGGCACCGGTGAGTTGTCTACACCTCTTCCTGAGTGGTGCCTGATGCAAGGCGATACAAAAAGTAGAAACCGCACGCGACCGTGCAAAGTCGCCCTTTAGTCGTAGAAAATGGCCTCGTGGAGTCGGTTCCATGCCCAGATGTGCCTGTCCAGCTCACTCAGAACCCGTAGCTTCTTAACTTAACCCTAGTGGAATTGATTATTGATTTCTCTAATACAGAGCACCGGCTGTCTCTAGAGTACCTTGGGAATATTCGAGGCATGACGCATGGCCGCCTTTATACCCTAACGATCTTGTCAGCTCGACCGGTCGGACCATCCTCCAATCTCACGGTCGGGAATTGTTTCCGTACACTTCTAGAGACTGACGTATCAATGATCAAACCAAAAAAGAAGTTTTTGTCGTTGTCCATCTCACGGTTCATTTTCACTGGACTCCCAGAAGCAAGGAAGGGTGGGTGCAAGGCAGCCATATTGTCCGATGATCTTAATGGTCAAGGGACGCGGAATTATCCGCATAGGATTCACCAGCGATCGAACGACAATTAACCCCTTCGTTGACCCCGTATTGAAATGAATTCAGGTCACTCATGGTATCACCTTCCACTTCGGGTACTGAAGATGATCCGGTCGGGGGTCGTCTCACTATCAAACCACCCCATCTCTATATTTAACCTCAACAACGGTCACCGGCGATCCTATGGTGATCCTCCACCTTCAAAATCCCCATTGTATGACATACAAAATATATGGAAAGGGTTTCCGACTCTATATCAGAACCTCGCCTGTGGCCGCCCCCAAGGCCCCCAGGTCGTATTCCTATTCCTTCCCGGATTCCCGCGGGCTGAACGGGCTGAAACGCTTCTTCAACCCTCGTACTCTGGATCGCTAAACACCCTTCAGGGTCTTCTGTAGTCATTAGTGCTTCGTTTTGACTTTGGTCCCTGCAGGGTATATGGTCGGGGTCTAATAGTGCAGGAGAAACCGTCGCAGGTCAACGTGGATAGCATCATCTGCTCAGCGTGGCAATCACCACCTGTCCTGTGAATAACCCGTTTCTAACTGTAGAAACATCACTCATCGAACGTGAAACCGAGAAATCAAAAGAGAAATAAGAAGATTTCTCAACAGCTCTCAACGCGCTGCTCAACATTAACCCCCCGCTGATGACACAGTGACGAGACATCGGATCTCTCTCGACAAGCTCGCTCCGACTCGACTTGGGGGCCAAGCTCCACCAGACTCAACTCTCTCGACAACAAGTGAATGGATATGACGTGAAGCGAGACCATCTACCTCGACGATGGAGATATAAATTGCCTGCTTGCCTCGACCATTGCTATCATCGCCATCATCTTCCCTCTCATCGCTCCTTATCTACCTGGTTTGCTTCTATAATCACCTACCACTCACCTTCTCATCATGGCATTCAAAACCACCGCCGGTCTTGCACTCCTCGCTCTCGCGGGCTCCGTCAAAGCCCAGTCCGTGGATGGCTCCAAGTACAACAGCCCAACTAACGGTCCCCCGGCCAGCTACTTTGCCGCGGCCACGACCCTGCCTGTCGCGGCCTTGCAATCCGCTGCAGCCAAGGCGAGTTCTGTGCCGTCCAAGGCTACCTATCCTGTCAATACGGATAAGAATTCTCCCAAGTCGACTATTCATAGCGATTGGGTCAAGTTCAACCAAGTATGTTGCAACCTCCCTCAAATGGTGGCAGAACCCTCGCTAATGAGACTACAGGGTGCCGCACTCAGCTGGGTAGCAGACATGGATGTCGACTGTGATGGCATAGACTACAAGTGCAAGGGCAACGGGGATGGCCTACCCGAGACCAACTGGGGAGCACTGGCAGCTTATGAAGTACCCTGGATTGTCATCCCAGACCAGTTCCTCACGGCCAACGAGGACTTGCTTCCGGGTAACAACGTTGCCGCAGTGATCTGGTGAGTCTGCCCTTCACCTTCTGAACCATCATGCTGACTGCCCTCTTTAGCAACGGCAAAATGTACTACGGCATCCTGGGTGACTCCAACGGCGACGACCCGGAGGTAACCGGCGAAGCCTCGTGGCTCATGGCCCGCACCTGCTTCCCAGACGACGATCTCAACGGAGCCGAGGGACACGCCGAAGCAGACGTGACCTGTAAGCACAACTTCAAATCAATCCAAATCCAGCTCTTCTAAAACAAGAACAGACATCGTCTTCACCGGCGACGACGCCGTCCTCCCCAGCAGTGCCCTGGACAAAAACTACATCACCAACTTCAGCACCCTGCGCTCAATGGGCGACAAGCTGGTCGGAGCTCTCGCATCTAACTTGGGTCTCTCTAAGTCAGGCTCGGGCTCTAGCGCCAGCGCCAGTGTCCCCTCCCAGACCACATTGGCGACGAGCGCCGCCAGCACACCGAGTCCTTCGGGCTCCACGGCCACCTGTTCCTGGGAGGGACACTGCGAAGGTACGTGGACCCTCCGGTCGATACGAATACAATGGCTCATATTGATTTTATGCAGGCGCTATTTGTTCTACTGAGGATGACTGCTCGGATGATTTGGTCTGTGATAGTGGGAAGTGCAGCTCTGCTGATGATGAGGAGGAGAATGACGAGGATGAGGATGATGTGGATGACGATGATGACGATGATGAGGACGACGACGACGAAGACGACGAGTGATCAACAGCTATCTACATCATAATGGAGATACTAACCATCCCAACCCAAAACTCCTAACCCTCATTTTACCAAACCATATATTTAATAAATTACTTAAAATCGGAACAATCTTCCAAACAATCCCACCCAAGAAAACTCCCCTATTTAATAAACAAAAATAAAATCCTCGTTCTTCAAGTCCGTCGTATCCGAAAATCCCTTATCACCATCCACCTCCCCCCTCTCCCCCGTCACATTGACATTAACACCCACATCCTCCACCTCCACCACCTTCCCCTGCTCCACCGCCTTCTTTCTAGACATGGACTCATCCACAATCCGAGCCGACTTGCCCAATTCCGTTCTCCGTCTTGCATGTTTCCGATTGAGGTAGATGAGGTATAGATTAACGAGACTGCCGGAGTCAGTTAGACCTTCACCACTTCACAGACAAAAGAAGAGAGGGAGTCTGGTACGTACATAGCAAAAACAGCTACCAGCACAAACAGGATAAGATTCGATATAAGGCCCGGTCGATATAGCGGTGCTTGGGAGGTGGAGTAGAGTTGGGGGCCGATGACCTATTTCATTAATTGCGTTTAGCTATGAACATTACTCTAGGATAGATTATAATTATATAAGGGGGTAGAGGAAGGGAAGGGGGGGGGGCTACATTTCCCGCACACATCCCAATCAACACCACAGCCGACGTACATTTCCTCTTCGTATCGCCGGCTGTGTTTTGCGCTTCCCAGGCGTACACGAGGGGCGTTATGGCCGCGAGGCAGGAGACCTTGTACATACATCATCAGTATACCACATCTTCTTCCCTGACGAATGGAACGGTCCTAACCAAGTAATACCCAAACAAAAGCACGCCCTTCTGCTCCCTCGGCACAACAACCATCAACAACGTCCCAATGGCAGAAATCCCCGCAAACAGGGCAATCACGAGCCCCTTCCTCTGGAACCTTGCAGCCAGCCATCCTCCGCCTAAAATGGCGATGACTTGAATCACGCCAAAAGGGATGTTGAACAGGATGGTTTCGAACGATCCGTAGCCGAAGGATTTGATGATCAAGTTGCCGAATGTGCTGATGCCGCCGCTGGGTATTCTGCATGCTGTTTAGTTATAATGGTGTGGAATAGGGGAGGTGGGGAGGTTGGGAGGGGGTTTACGCACGAGATAGTCACGATGAGAAAAAACCACAGCCACGTCTTCACATCGTATGCTGTCTCCCAGACGTGATCCCATCGCCACTCCCGCGAGATGATGCCCATTTGGTTAGCCCGGAGACGTTCCACGGCGATGACTTTTTCGCGTTCGGAGAGGAATTTGGCTTCCATTGGGGAGTCGGGCATGAAGAGGAGGACTAGAGTTGAGTAGGCGACGGTGAGGAGGCCGCAGAACATGAAGATTATCTGTGGTTTTGAGGGTTAGTAATGGGAATGTTGTGGGGATAGGTGGGGAGAAGTACTTGGTAGGAGTAGAGGCTGTCGCTGTGGATGTGGCCGAGTCCGTAGGTGAATAGACTACCGACCTGGGGGATTAGTTAGGATGGTTTGTATAGGATGATAGTAGGGAGAATTACTATAAAGGTGACCCCGTTCATCGCGTTCCATATCGCTGTCCGGAGGGTCTGCTCGCCTCGACGCCACCACATTTGTGTGACGGCCACACATGAGGGTGCTGTTTCATTAGTTCATCGTATCGAAGTATATGGGTTAATATAGAACACACCGATCATAGCTTCAAATGTCCCCAAGGTGAGCCGCAGCCCTAGTAGACTGGGAAAGTCCGTGCACGCTGCCATGATGGCCAGCGAGCTTCCCCATAACAGCACGGCCGTTCCAATGACTTTGCCGGTAGGAGCTTTCACAAGTAACAAGGCTGCAAGTGGCTGCACGACTAGCTGGGCAAGGTACAGAATAGACCCCAGCCATGAGTACTGCTGGCCGTGTAGATGCGCATCCTCGACGAGGCCAAAGATGGACACATAAGACAGCGTCGACTTGTCCAGCTGTTGGAAGAAGTATGCTCCCAACAGGAGAGGGAGGATACGAAGATCAATGCGTCTAAGGACGTGCTTCTCTTCTTCTGGGCTGAATGTCCGCTCTTCCTCTTTGACAGTGGCTAGAAAGTCCGCTGCCTTTTCTCTTTTTGTGCCATGGGCCGGAGTGTCCACGGCGGTGATGGCATCGTGGGATTCCTCTGCATGGGTAGCCATCGTGAATACCTGCTTGCAGATACCAGAATAGATACTCGGTGACTAGTACTTGATTTATATCCTTCAGCCAGGATGAACCGGCTAAAATGACTGCAATTCCATCAATCACAGCCAGATCAGATAACTACCGAGGCTATCTCACCATCAATCTCGTCGGCTGATCTAACATGTTACCCCAGATTCTCCAACCCCAGTCTCCCCGCATTTCGGCCTGTTTCCGGTTGATGGAAAAACTCTGGCAATCAAGCTGCGTGGGGGGGAGTGGGATGTCCGTGCGAGATGCCAGATCTGCGCTTCGGGTGAGTGTTTCCCGACAACATATAAACCAGCTACGATCATCCCCCTCATGAATATGATCATGAAGTTCATGAGACATTGTCACTTCATACCAACGGCACAATGAAGAAATACGCCCTCATCGGCACTGGCGGCCGTGCCATGTTCTTTTACACGGCCATCGTGCGCGACTTCCCCAGCACCGCCCAGCTCGTCGCTTTCTGCGACACCAACTCCACTCGTCTGGCATACGCCAACTCGCAGATCCAATCGCTAGGTCACGCTGCGATTCCGACGTACAATGCACGGGACTTTGACCGAATGATCGAAGAGACTCGTCCGGACGTGGTGATCGTCACCACTATCGACCGCACCCATCACCAGTACATCGTCCGTGCGTTGGAACTGGGCTGTAACGTCATCACGGAAAAGCCCATGACCATAGATGCGCCACGTTGTCGACAGATCTTCGACGCCGTGAATCGCACTCAGCGCCAGGTGCGAGTGACATTCAACTACCGGTATGCGCCGCATAACACGCGCATCGCGGAGCTGCTAGCCAGCGGGGCAATTGGCGAGATCAATGCCGTGCATTTCGAATGGGTGCTCAACACCTCCCATGGAGCGGACTACTTTCGTCGCTGGCATCGCGATAAGAGAAATACTGGGGGTCTGCTAGTGCATAAGTCCACGCACCATTTTGACCTGGTGAATTTCTGGCTCCGCACTCGACCTGAGACTGTCGTTGCGATGGGGGATCTGCGCTTCTACGGGAAGGAGAATGCTGAGCGACGCGGCGAAACGAGGTTCTACTCTCGCTCTCGCGGGAGTGAAGTGGCTCGGGACGATCCATTTGCTCTGGACCTGGAAGGTAATGAGAAGTTGAAAGGGATGTACGCGGATGCAGAGTGGGAAGACGGGTATTATCGTGATCAGAGCGTGTTCGGGGATGGCATCAGCATTGAGGATACGATGGGTGTGATGGTCCGGTATGAGTCCGGGGCTGTGATGACGTATAGTCTCACGGCGTATGCGCCTTGGGAGGGCTTCCGAGTGAACTTTACTGGGAGTAAAGGTCGGCTGGAGGTGGAGGTCGTGGAGCAGTCGTATGTTAACTCCGGGGGTGAGCAGGGTTTGGAGGGCGCTCTTGAACGACAAAGTATTTTTCTAAGGCCTTTGTTTGAAAAGCCGGTGGAGATTGAGGTGCCGACGGGTCAGGGAGGGCATGGGGGTGGAGATCCCCAGCTGCTGAAGGATTTGTTTGGTACCCCCGATGCGGATCCTCTGGGTAGGGCTGCGACGCATGTTGATGGGGCGTGGTCGATTGCTACGGGGATTGCGGCTAATGAGTCTATGCGGAAGGGGGAGGTGGTGAGGGTGAGGGATTTGATGCCGTTGTGAGTTGCTGTTCGGTTGGTTTAAGAGGTAGAATAGAATGCATAATGGACCTGTGATATGATAGGAAGATTTGTAGACGGATGATAGCTATGACAGATTTTTGTTGAGGTGCAGCTGAGAGGTCACGAGTACATCTTTTACATAGCGGAACTGTCTACCTCAAGCACAAACTTAAAGAGAGGTGACGTATAAGGGTCTCATTCGATTTGACTTGTGAGCGGAATGCCCATACTGCCAAGGGTGCTCTTTTCAATACTTGATGAACGCATTGGAAGCTATGGTAGAGGTATTTTCTTGGAGTATTGTATCACAGCTACTGTAAGAGGTGTCATTGAGCTACAAACAGCTGAGATAGAGTATTTCCATAATTGGAGCGCTTCAAACTCAGCCCGTCTCCCAAACCTAGCGTCAACGGATTAATTTGCATTGATTCTCTCCTCCCCCGAATAACATGCCAAAGATTGCGCAAAGACGAATGCAGACTCAGTAATTGTAGAGGTCACCATCAAGCTCAGCAGTGCCACGCTTGTAATTATACAAGTCTCCATCAAGTTCAGCCTTGCTGCGTTTGTAGTTGTAGAGATCCCCATCGAGTTCAGCGTTGTCCCGCTTATACCCGCCCCGTTTGTAGTTGTAAAGATCGCCATCAAGCCCTGCTTTGTCACGCCTGTAGTTGTAAAGGTCCCCGTCGAGCTCACTAGTACCTCGTTTGTAGTTGTACAAGTCACCGTCTATCTCGTTGGTAGATTCCACGGCTGAGAATGTCAATACAGAATTTTTTTTCATGGGACTGGTGAGCTACTTACCAGGTAAGGCCGCAGCCATACCAATGGCGAGGCATAAGGATAGTATAACCTTGGGGGTATGCATCGTGATGGCTTGGAATATTTTTCGTCTAGATTCAAGATGTATGCTCTTTTGCTCGTAGCAGAGTGTGGTTGATGTGGTTGGTCTAGTGGATCGAGTATCTGTGGGAATTGTGCAGCTTTTATATGGATCAACATAGCCGGCTATTTGCACGGCATGTCAGAATACTGCCTCGGGGTCGGTCATATGAGCATAGAGTGTGGTGAGTAACCGAACGTCGTCATCTTTTTTTCTGAAAGATGCATGACTACGGTGTGCAGGACATGGAAGTTACGTTGCTGCGTGGATGGACGGTGATAGTATTGTTGTGGCAACATTCGCTCTATTTGCGTCTTTCCCCTTCCCAACCGAGGATAGAACATGAGGCATACTTTGCTGAACCGACTGGCGAACCGACTGGCAAGGCAATAATTGCCCTGCTGTGACCCCAAAAATTCCAGGAATCAAGTGTAGCTATGTGACACTGTGCTGCTTGACATCGATAGTTTAGCGGGGATACATGCATCCTCGACTACATGGTGAAGCTTCACCCCATGACAACTGACATGTCGTTAGTCTAAGCATCTAGGGAATATCTGCACATCATCTAAGCAGGTGCAGAAAGATTCCTCGCGCGGGGTAGCCGACCATACATGAAGCTCCATATGTTCTGAACGGTGTGCCCTCAGACTCGCAGCAGCGATTCGAGTAGTACAAGCTCCCCGCTCGCCCCATGCCTACATCATGATCCTGCGGGGAAATCAGTCGTGATAGCTATGTTTCATCATTACTCTATCTATGGAAACAGGCAATTATGGGTTCTTCACCAACATATCGACTTGAAATTATCCCGACTTCCCCTTTTGTAGATGATCACTCCATTCCCCACGTCCTCATTTCTATCTATGCCCCCAGCAACCCTTCCACTCCCTCCCCCTAAAGAAAAATGTCCCTGGCAAGGCTCAGCACAATGTACATGGCTCTCAGAAGAGACAGAACCGACAGCACCTCCTCCTCCTCCGAGAGACTGCCATTATCAGACAGTTCAGAAGACTATCGCGATGAGTCCTTCAAAGACCACTTCGCCGAAGGCCACCATTACATGAACCATCAACGCCAATCCCCCATTCGATGGAGCAGTCTATGCTTCCACCTCATCCTAGCCCTGATCTACGGCGCAGCATTTCTAGCAGCAACGTACCGATCCATAAGCAACATCAACCATCAAGACAGTAAACCTGCGCATCTTATCGCATGTAAGCCCCATCTCTCCCACCAATCTCAACCCCAACTAGAAATCCACTAAACAGAAAGCACACTAGCCCCATTATGGGAAGCCATAGAACTCGAGCGCAAAACCATCAACGCCTCAATTGAAAGCGAGAATCCATTCAAGGGTGCTCCGTCTGAAGAAGTAGACCACACATGGCACCAGCTATTCATCAACTCCAATATCCGAGTTGCTGCTGAAGACCTGGAGAAGATAAATCGCACGTCCGTCCCGATAAACGATGAGAAGGGGGGGGATTATGCCATTCCGGGTATGTCAAAAAACCCCCCCACATGCGTAGCTCTAATCCATAGATGGCCGCCCTGACAGTAATAGATGTATATCACCAGCTGCACTGCCTGGTAAGACCCCTTCCCTACCACTTTCATTCATTCTATACATAGCACAGCTGATAATAATAATAATAACTACCAGAAATTTCTCCGCCAAGTAGTCTACCACAGCTACTACCACATCGGGAAACCCACTACCCCGCTTCACATCGGTACATCTCCTCCCCCTCCTTCCGATTTCAAACCCTTAATTGATATTGTAACTAATACAGCTGGACAAAAGAACACTGCATCGACAACCTCCGCCAAAACATCATGTGCAAAGCCGACGTCTCTCTCCTAACCTTCACATGGGATCCCACAGATCGCGCCCCGAAACCCAACTTTGTCGTCGAGCACGAATGCGCTAACTGGGATAAGGTGGATAAATGGGCCGAGGAACATCGATTCGATATCTTCGATGAATCTACCCTGATTCATCCAACGCTGGGCCCTTCGTTCCCCGAAGAGGAGTATAAGGCTACGGGGAGGATTCCCGGACATCCGGACTTTCATCCGAATGGGTTTCATGGGGATCATGGGGGGTCATAGTAATGGGGTATGATGGGGAAAGGGGGGGAATGTGCAGTCTTATGTAGTGAGATATTTACTGTGCATGGCACATGATTCCGATTATTATTTTGGGTATATACATTTATGTCCAAAGGTATTAAGCAGGAATAACCCCCTGCGGATGATGAAACGTATTCTTAGGATCCAACTCCTCCTTCAACTCCTGTAACCGGGGCAGATTCGTTCGCCAATACTTCTGCGGCGCATCCTCCATCCTCGGGTCCGGACAGCCCAGATACGCGTGTCCCACGCTCTCTGGCACCGCGCGCGCTAGCACATCATACAGTCCATCGGTGAACTCGTACGTCGTCTCGGATATAGGGCCTAGGGGATTGACCATGAAGAGCTGGACCCAGAAGAGCACGTCTCTATGCGCGTACGCGGTTGCGTCTTCAGCGACGTCGTTGATGGCTCCACCTTCCAGACTGAGAGTGACGAGCCAGACTGGCGTGCCGGTGGTGTGGTTGGCGATGTATTCGAAGAATTCGTCGATTCCGGCAGATGGAATCAACGTGTCTTGTCTGAATCCTAGGGACTTGGCGTAGAACCATGTCGGGGTGTTGCCGACCAGCTTGAGGATGGTATCTTCCAGCGCGTGTCCGACCATGCCGAGCCAGTCGGTCAGAACGAGGATGTTGCCTGGGTTCTTAGGTGCGAAGTGGTCTTCTAGTCCTAAGGCGTCGTACTGTTCCTTGGACCCGAAGAACAATCCCTCGAGAATAATGTCCCCGTCGAAAATGACCATGTTGTTGTAGAACTGACGGGTGAGGTTCTTCGCCGAGATGAACGACTGCCAGTCCTTGACGAATTGGGCTTTCTCGGCAGTGCTGCCCAAGTTGAAGGTATACGAGTACTGGACCGCGAGACCTGGGGCCGGCTCAGTGCGGACTTTGAACTCGGTCACGATGCCAAAGTCGGCTGCGGCGCCTTTGACAGCGAAGAATACGTCCTGGTTCTGGGTATTCGAGGCCCGGACGATGCTCGAGTTGGCCAGCACCACTTCAACTTCCTCGACATGGTCCAGGGCAAGACCCCATTGGCGTGCGGTAGGGCCGAGTCCTCCGATGGTGAAATGTCCGCCTGTTTTGATGGTTGGGCAAACGCCGTGCGCCATGGCTCGTTTCCCGTTGTTGTAAAGTTCGATGTCAACGTCGTTGAGGGTCGTGCCCGGTCCGATGACTGCTTCGTATGTCTGGTCGTCCATGGAGAATTGGTTGAAGTGTTTCATGTCGACTACTACCGCTCCGTCTGTTCCGCCGAGGCCTGTGTCGAGTATTTGTTAGTGGGAGATGGCCTAGGGGGCTATTTGGCTGAGGGTATGCTACCATAGTTCCCAAAGCTGTGGCCTCCACTGCGTGCCTGCACTTTGTAGTCATAGTCTGAGGCGCACTTGACTATGCCGGCGATTTGTTCTGCTGTCTCCGGGTACGTGATGGCGGCCGGAGTAACCGGGAGATTGAGGTTGTATTCGTGGACATCGGCGGTCCAAAGAAGCTGGTTTGGGAAAACCGCAAGGGCTGAATCGCCTCCGAGAGCAGATATCAGGCAATCACGCCCTGCTATACTGGTTGTGTTGCCCATATTGGGAGAGACTGGTCTTGAACAGGGGAATCAATCGACTAACAGTTCGACGGAGAAAATCAAGGCTGCCATGCTCCTTTTGTTGTGCCGGGAGGTGCCGGCCTGGAGTGGGGTGAAGATTCCATGCCTTGCCAGATGAGATGCACTATTGATCGATGGATACGAACTTCCTTGGTTTGGGTGCAATGTTGAGTCAAAACAGCGATCTCGGCCTCCACTGCCTGTTCGTTGCGCGCCGATCATGCCTCAAACTAATGCAACTTTGATCGGGTCCCCACCAAACCCCCGCCAGACCCAATTTTGTCTGGTTCTACCCCTGAATTTCTACCTTGTTCATTCAGCTAAGACCTATGGCTCGGAAGAAGCTTGAGATGGGACCCATGGCTTGAGAGATTTCTAACTTTGCTCCTCACAATATTTTCACCCGGTTTGTCACCAGCGAGTCATGTTGTGTTCTTTACAGTTGATTCCTTATGGTTGCGATTGAACAGAAACTCTCCGTCACTACAGTAATTCACCGGCAGTAGATGGCCTGATCATAAATAGCATTCATGGCTCGTAAGATGTTTGCATCGAAAGAAAAGCGTTAATATCTGTAGCTTCCGCTTTGGCGGCACAGCTAGACATGATCGTTAAATCGCGCTGAACAATGGACTTCAACGCACAGTTGCAAGTACTTCAGATCTACATCTGAAACCTCAAAGCCGGTCCCATCCGCTTCAGCTTCCGGCTCACTGGGTTCGGAGCATTAGTGGTCGTGTTGTACGTCGCCAGTGAGTCCAGCACCTCCCACTGAATCGTGCTGTTGCCCTCGCGGTAGGTACTCTTGAGTGTGCCCACCGTCTGCAGACTCGGCGTCACGGGAATCTTCCCTGTTGCCACATCCTTGCCGCCAATGACGCGCTCAAACATCTCCAGCGCAAGCAAGGGCTGGTAGAAGGGAACTTCATGGCCACTCTCATACACCCGCACAAAAGCAAACTGCCCTGCCTGGCGCACCTGGCCGTGCGTCACTCCATCCGAGGTGACAATGTTGGTGTAACCCGCACTGCTGAAGTTGGCAGCCTTGACCTGCAGTGACACGGCTTCCCCGCCCAGCCAGTTGCAGTTGAAGTCGGCATCCCCGGCATACATGACTACCGTGACGCCCTGCTTGAGCAGCTTGCCCACATCCTGGATGGTATTCATGAGTCGCCCGTCGTCACCGGTGGACGAAAAGGCGAGTCCGACAGCGTTGTTGCTCTCTGTGTAGTTGATGTATGCACCGATGGCGGCCTGCACGGACGCCTTGTTCAAGTAGTCGACGTAGAACTCGTAAGGGAACGGGTCCGGGGTGAGTTCGCGGAAATCGTACTCATCCCGACCGGAGTAGATGTCGTAGATCTCCTCGACCTCGTTGGCGCAAAAGTCGTCGGCAGTGCTGCAGACCTCGTCAATGCCTCGGGCGGCGCAGTCGTAAAGCTGGTCGAGGCAGTTTCCGGGGCCGTAGAGGTTGTTGTACATCAGCGAGCTGATGGACTTGTTGAATGGCAGGTAGTCGTAGGTGTTACCCGGATATACCTGTAGATAGATTAGCGTCGAAGCAGTAGAGACCACGGATCAATATCGGGTAGTGTACCGTAAAATTGTAGTAGGCTTGGTATTGAATGATCGGATCATACCAGCCATTGCCGATCATCACACTGCCCAGTTGGATCTTCTTGGCTCCCGGCTGGAGATGAGCATTCTGCTCCTCGATGTACTCGTTGAAGACGGGTCCGTAGTGGCCGCCATAACTTTCCGTGGTGAAGTGGAAGGTCTCGCGCGAGTACTGGGGAAATGCGCCCATGAAACCCTGCAGGGCGCGGTAGAAGTTGGGGGCAGCGTTGTCGGTGGAGTTGGCCGTAAGGCTCACGTTCGGGTAGGCGTAGGTGCCACAGGACATGTCTGCTGCATAGTCGGGGCAGACAGGGGAGGGCAGGGCAATGACATTGTCCGTAGAGGAATCCACGTAGCCGGGGACCGGAATGCTGTAGGAGAAGCCAGTCTGCACGGGCTGGTCAATGTAGAGCATGTTGCTGGCGTTGTTCCAAGAGTACGGGTTGTTGTAGACGGAGCCATTGGCATCAATGCCGCAGGGGCCGTTCTCTTGGAACAACCCGATCATAGAGGAGGAACCAGGACCTAGGAATAGTTAGCAATTGGGACGAAATGATGACCGGGGTGAGACATGCCTCCATTGATCCAGACGGTCAAGGGAGCCTCGGTAGGATCTTGATTGCGCGCCTCGAAGAACCAGAAGAAGATGTGCTCGTGCTCGGCGACATCGAGATAACCAGAAAAACTCTTGACGCTGGGATCGGTCTCGCAAATGCCGGTGGGGACCTGTTTATAGCGGACGGGGATGTCGAGATAACCCTTGGTGGGAATGAGATCCGTGGGTGGAGACACAAACTGGGCCCTGGAGACGGGCAAAGCAGCCACCAAGGCAGCAGCCCAGAGAGTGTACATGTCGGACAGCAGAGATCAAAGATGGGGAAGGAAACTCTCAAAGTGGTAATATTCAGAGCATGCTCTTCACCCTTTTATCAAGAAAGCTTGCTATCTCTTATCGGAAAAGAGAGAAGTGTGGAGTAACAATGCTTAGGTGACTGGGGAGATAAGTACCAAGTTGAGCAGACGCGTGACCTGCCGATCGCTGGCAAAGCCGACGGAGTCCGAGTCACCGTTAGCAACAAAAACACCAATCTACATTCTACCGTCTTCGATATTATTATCATGACTCCACATTTCTTCTTCGTTCGAGCTTAGCTTTTATGCTAACGGAAATATCTTCTTCACACTAACTTATCCACTCTTGACTCCTCGTAATCAGCAGAATCACTCCATGTCATGAGCCATTCCGTGCTGGAACCAATCATTTCACTGGCAGAGAGTAGGATATTTATCATGTTATGTAGAAAATGCATGTTCTGTTCTGCTATCCCTTATGGCATTCATGACTTCAGCTGTCCAAGCTCCGCCATTGAGCATCTTGGCCCCTCAATCAGCACCTTGATTGAGCCACTACTCGGATCCGACGCCGTCTGAAACACCTTGGAAGCGTCTTCAAAGGCATAGACATGCGTGACCATCGCATCCAAATCAATCATTCCGCTGGACATCACCCGGATGGCGCGGGGCCACATGTTGACATAGCGCTGCTGGAACTGCAGGTCGATCTCGCGCTCGCTCAGTCGCATGAATGGAAACTCAAGCTTATCCTTGCCCAAGCCAACCACAAACAGCTTGCCCCCAAACTTGACACTCTGAATAGCATGAGCGATGCAACTTTCGACTCCCGTGCATTCTAGGGTGACCACGGGCTCGCGATCCTCCCCACCTATCAGCTGCACCACCCGAGCTGCAAATTCCTTGTCCGTCTCCTCCGGCCGAACCTGCAGTGTTTGAGCAGCAGGCACGTATTGTTGTGCAAACTGCAGACGCGCCGGGCTGACATCGCTAATCACAATGGGATAAGCCCCGGCAGCGCGGCAGCATTGCAGCACCACCAACCCAATCAACCCTGCGCCACAAATCAACACCGGATCTCCAATCTTGACCCCCGAACGAGCCACTGCGGTGAATGCGACACTCAGTGGCTCCAGCAAGGCCATTCCGGATCATCGTTGACGGAGATGCTGCAGTTCGCATGATTTACTCTGTCAGGCAATGTGCAGCGGTACAACTTTGGTCCGAATCTCTTCTGTACAAGGGCAAGACCCTGATCATTATAGGGTGAGGCTATCGAAAGACCCCGACAGCATCTATGCCCTTAGAAAGGCCACAATAGCCATACTGTTATGATCTGATAACTACCAGTACTGGTATCAGAGATCAATCATCAATCATCCTTCTCCACTGATGGAAGTGGGGAAAGTTCAGAGATAACGGAAGCCGCGGAGACCGATGTCATCCTTTTACTTTGAATAAAGTCAACTCACCTGCTGTTGGCACTTCGCCCACAATTAATATCATTCACTTCAGTCAAAATGCAAAAATCACAAGAAGGATTCACCTGGACTGCAAAAGGTGACTTTCAGTATGGTAGGTAGTATCTTAACTCGACAGAGTCGTTGTAATTACTCGGCTAAGCATACAGTGAAGGATTAACCACTGCGGCTGTTGTCCCATCCACCCCACCGTCAGGCCTCTCTCCTAGATATGATGTGATTGTTATCGGTGCGGGATTTGCCGGTCTTACTGCTGCCCTGTGACTTTGCTTTTAGAGGCAAAAGCGTGCTCCTCGTTGAAGCTCGAGATCGCATTGGCGGTCGTTGTTGGACTGCAGAGGCGGGAGACGATACCAAGGTGGAGCTTGGTGGCACATGGGTGCACTGGCAACAACCACATGTATTTAGCGAGCTGCAACGATATGACCTCGCTAATTTTCAGGAAACTGTAGCGTTTCCTGAGAACGGTGAGTTCGTGGTCAAGGAATCGCGGTCTCACCCTGCTAGAGTGCAGAATTCTGCTGAAGGACAAGTCATGATGGAACGACTAGAAGGACTGATGGAGAAGTTCTTTGATGTTGATGGGCAAGGCGGGCGCAGTGTAATCCGATTTCCGTTAAGTACAGCTTCGAGTGTCGAATAGAATCCGGACTACCTCGAACTGGATAAACTCAGCCTAGCGGATCGTATTGCGCAGCTCGATAGTTGCAGCCAGGAGGAAAGGTCAATGCTTAGCGCGCATACCGCTTCTTTCTATGGCGTCTCGCCGGAAAAGGTTTCCTTTGCCGAAGTGCTTCATACCCATGCATTATGCAACTTTGATCCTGCCATGATGGATATAGCCATCATGAAATACAAGATTGCACGAGGCACCACGGCCTTCGCGCGCGCAATCCTTGATGACTACAAGAGAGCCCGGATCTTTGGTTCTCCTGTGACATCGATCACTCAGACAGGTGGAGAATTCCCCGATTATCCTGTTACTGTCACCCTGAAAGATGGAAATTAGTTTGTGTCCAAATTCGTCATCCCGACAATCCCCATCAACGTGATCTCATCCATCACCTTCGATCCCCCTCTATCTACACTCCAAAGGGAAGTTTTCTCCACCGGCGTTACCCCGGCAAAGTCAGATAAGCTCCTGGTATGCACATCATCCGATCTTAGAAACGGCTTCAATGTCACCTGTGAGGGAGGCGATATGCCCTATACAAGCGGCTTTGCAGATGGAAAGCACGGCAACCATACCCTCCTCACTTTGCTTGCCCATCCAGGGAACAATCTGGACCGCTCAGAGGAGAACATCCGTCTGATGGAGACTCTTCGACCCACGGGCATACAGGTTGACTCGGCATGTGGCCATCTCTGGTCCGAGGATTCATATGCTGGCGGCGTCACGCCGGTTCGGGGACCTGAATTCTTGCAAAAGTATCATGATGCGATAAGGAGGCCACACGGACAGGTGCATCTCTGTGGGTCAGATTTTGCGGATGGCGGGCGGGGGTTTATCTCAGGTGTCTTCGAAGACGCCTATCGAGTCACTAGAGACATATTGCGATAGAACTCAAATATGGTGGTTAGTATGTATTTTAGAATTGTAATTGTAGCATCGAACCTCGTCTTGGAGCCTCCGGGGCATGCTCTCATTTATGGGTTCTCAGTGATAGATTCAATTCATCCAAGCAGAGACCCACCACTGCAACGTGTGTTGGTATATATACAGTTGACAAACAGTCATCGACTAAGGCAGACAAGCGGTCCCGTAGACAGGAAGGTAATGAGGTCACCATAGTCAAAATGGTAAAAGGCTAACAATTAAGCTTAATTCTCTCAGGTGGAGGAGATACTAGAAATGAATGCAGAGGTATAGTAGCTGTATGCACCTCTTGCATTCAGCTGCATCGCTATAGATACGAGCAGAGTATCTTACTGTACCCGAGGACATGGAGAGTTGAGTAAGTGGGACCCCGAGGTATGTTATTTTTAGTAGTTTCGCGACATCATTGGCTGAAAATGTAGGCGGAAGGTACTAATACACCATCTAACCATACGTACCATACATACTTATCAGCTCCTATGACTGAATTGCACTCATTGCAGGCACCGGCTTCACCCACGTGATGGTAATAATACCGAAACATCAGCTCCATCTGGTGCCACTTTCCAGGACTGGCTCGGTTTGCCGGAAGCGCCGTGACCCGCGATCATACGACGCCCACCACCGAATCTTGGCCGAGGATCACCGCCCGCCTTCGCCTTCAGGCAGCGCAATTGGAGATGGAGTTCAGTTCAGTTCAATTCACTTGTCCACAGTCCCATGCCTCGCCTTTCCTATCTCGGTCGCTTGTGATTTGGACTGGCTGGCCACCTACTCTCCCTCGGACCCTTTCTCCCTCTGCTACATCATCATCTTTGAATCATTTGCCGTCGTGGAACAGCATTGAGGGGGTATCTTTGCAAAGTACATTGCGCGCCCCCCCCTCTCTCGGTTTAGCCTCTTTAGCATACATAGCAAGAAGTCAAAATCTGCTCCGCCGGGACGGAGAGCCACTGATCCAGTCACTGGCCGCGCCCTCAACCGCCCAACGGTTCGATAAGATCTAAAACGTACCTTGCCTGCCCTGCCCTGCCACGGTCGTCTCCGGAAGCCACCACAATCCTGTCAGCTTCAAACCTTCTCTCTCTCTTCCTACTACCTGCATCGCCTGGACAGATCATCAACCAGGCTGTATTATTGCAACCAACCCAGTTTCCCATCATCCACCTATCCACAATTACCCTCAATTACTGCTCGTCTGATTGTCCCTGAGTCAGACTCCACTGTTCATAAATCTAGTCTCGCTAGCGCGTCTGGTTGGGGTGGGTGATACCCTCGCCGGTGACTTCAACCCGCAACTAGCCGCATCGCTTCTCGACCTTTCTTTCCCCTCAGGTATGCCTGCCTCTTCATACAACAGTCACCATTACAACTACTTTGTTCGATCAATGCTGTCTTGCTCATGTCCGTCTCCTTGTCACTAACCTATCACTAAACGCTAGCCGGAATCCACCTCCGTACTACCTGCCGCAGGGCACTGACGCTATCGATTGCGGTCCCGGCCTTGGCCGCTGGACGGAATGGCACTGCCCACCATGGGGAGCGACTTTCAGCTGTTCTCTCCTCTCCAGGTCTCGGACAGAAGAGACTCACAGGCCGACTCTACGGCCTTCGCCCAGTCTACAACGGAAGATTCGAGCCAGGATTGGACGCAGTGGATGAGATGGGACGACAAGGGCTTCGCCGATGGGGCAAAGGACGTCTCCCAATCCCCTTTTGATACGACCTTCACCTCACCCAATGCGTCAATTGGCCACACAGATCTCTTTCAGAAGTCCGAATTCTCTCCCGACATCAACCTGGACTGTACCAATATTCCTTTCGATTCCTTACTCGACCAGAATTACGGTGGCGTGTGCCAATCGAAGATCGGATCCATTGGTACCGACCTCCAGTCAGCGCTTTCCGCTACGTCGGGCTCCCCGCTTTCCTCGGAAGGAACTGCTCGCAAACGCAAGTCGGGCAGTGATGATGATGGATCAACCGTGAGTGGAGTGATCCCGACCGGTAAGAAGATGCCGGCCAAAAAGCGAGCGCACAACGTCATCGAGAAACGGTATCGAGCCAACCTCAATGAGAAGATTGCCGAGTTGAGGGATAGTGTACCTAGTCTCCGAGCGTCCAAGAATGCATCGGGTAGTCTAATGGATGACGACGACGAAGGGGTCACTCCCGCCAACAAGTTGAACAAGGCCTCTATCCTTTCAAAAGCCACCGAGTATATTCGTCACCTGGAGATCCGGAACAAGCGACTTGAGGATGAGAACATGGCCTTGAAGAACCGACTTCGTCAAGCGGAAAAGGCCGTTGATCAGTCACTGACCTCCGCAGCATCCGTCTCCTCACCCAGCAACTACACCGTTTCCACAGAGTCTGGCGCGAGCTCATCCCCCAGTGTGTTCTCGCATGTCGAGGATAGTCCTAGTGACCACTCGCCGACCTCTCTATATCCCCCCGAAGGATTGCTGAAGGTACCCGATGCCTTCAAACGCATGCGAGAGGAATCCACTGCCAAAGATAACGCGTTTTCCCAATCATACATCCAATACCCCAGCAGCAACAACAATGTCTCATCCCCATGTGGTGGTCGTACCAGGCGCTCATATTACCCCAACAAGTACATGCTTGGTGCCCTTGCTGGTTTGATGATCGTCGAGGGTATGGGCAGCGAAAAGAAAACGGAGTCAACCGCCAAGGGGCTGCTGGCAATGCCGATGAACCTGTTCGGAAACCTGCAAGCTAGCCTTCAGAGCCCCACCGCAGCATATTGGCTTGTAATGGCTCGAAACTTTTGGTACTCGTGGCATGCACGAGCCATCTCGCATTTTCTTATTCTCGCCACCCTTGTCGTCGGCAGTGCCTTCATTGTCTTCGTTTACCTCTTCAACGCGACTCCTGGTGAACAGTCCTCTTCGCTGAAGACTTCGTCACCGTCTGATACATCGTCGAATTTCCGACGTCAGGCCTGGCTGACAAGCATACAGCGAGTCGGGGTCCCGCGCCACCGCTTTTTCCACGAGTGGTACGTTGTGACCTCGCGCTGCTTTGAGTACGTCCTGCGGTGTCTCCTGGGTTGGAATCTGTATTCTTCGATTACTGGGGTTACCGAGGAAGACGAAAAGGGACGAGTCAAGACCTGGGATATTGCAATTGACGCACAATTGGCTGGTGGCGACGCTGAAATCAGCAAGAGTCGTCTAGTCCTTACCATCTTTGCGGCAGGTACCCTGCCTAGGAGTCCAATGAGAATGATGCTCAAAGCTCTCCATTGCCGTATCCTGCTTTGGAGAGTTGGGGACCGCGGCTCTTGGAGCTTCGACTTGTCCAATGATGTCGCTCGTTCATTGGCAAGGTATCAATGGGACCTCGCTCGGACCATGCACAAGGCTATGCCGAAAGATCATCCTGATGCCCTACCTAGCCACCTAGCCGCGTTGTTGCAACTGGACTGCGACGAAGTCATGATTGACAGCATCGTGCAAAGAGCGGCAAACCTCACTTGGAATCGTCCCACTCAAGAAGGCACTGATGATGACCAGGCTCTGCTGGATGTGGTGGAAGAAGACCCTGCCATTCAATCTTCCCTGGATGCCCTCGCAGCTTGGTGGTCTAGCCATCTCTTGCAACGGGCCCTGCTCAGATACTTCGAAGCTAGCTCTGGTGGTCCTGACGCAAAGAAGAGTCGCGATCTATTCAAGGCGAAGATCAAACTGGCCCTGGACGTCGCTCCTCAGCCTTCCGCCGCCCATACTCGAGCGTTGGTGATGAAGGCAGTATTCTTCGAGCAAGACCGCGCTGCGAATATCGGAACTGTCCTCGCCTCGTTGCCGAAAGATAAAGGGAAGAGCAAACAGAACCAAGCATCCAACTTCCTTGACTCATCTCTTCCTGTGTCCGTGCGGGAAGAGATTGCGATCTCGGTTCGCTGTGCAATGATTGCGGCTATATTTACGGCTAGGACTACAGGCGACACTTCTCTACCGGCATCCTTCACTATCCAACGAGCTGTCACATGGTTCAATCAGTTGCCGCTTGACCCGGTGGAGCTGACGCTTCTCGGGTTCGCGTCTGTGTACCATCTGCTCCATGTCCTAGCCTCTGACACCGACTATCTGTCGTCCTCCGAGTCCTCTTCGCCATCTTCTCCCGCCTCGCGCAGTTCCACCCCGTCGTCTTCGCTTTCCTCTGATGAAGAGGAGAATGACAAGCCACGTCTGTCGCAGAAGCCCGAGATTTTGCCGCAATCCATTCCGAACTTGGGTCGTGTGGCATCTGAACTCATGTACTGGGCGCGGAATGCATACAATCCTGCCTTTTACGGTTTCACTTCTCAGCTTGTCAAGGTCATTGAAACCGAATGCACCTCATTATGCCATAATGCCGGAGTCGACGTGACCGACTACTCTTGCATTCAGGAGGAGAAGATCAAGTCGAAACAACTGAAAGACAAAAAGAAGAAAAAGTACCCAAGAAGGTCATGAGCACTCGTCGTTTAGACGAATCAAAATAGACAAGAAAACAAAGACAGATTCTTCGATTTTGGTGCTTCTGGTCTCGATGACAGTGACTGCCGCCTGGAGCCCAGCAGTTCCATAATCTCGTGACAAATTCCCCCACCCGGATACAAACTTTCAAAGATATCACGGTTACGTTCCCATTAATGATATGACTAAGTCAGAATCGTCTTCCTTTTACGTGTATTTTTTTTTTCACCTTGCTTTACTTTAAAGGCGATTGATTTACTGTTGTGTGTGACGGGGCCGCGCAACCGTTGATTTGCGCCCTACCCCATTTCTTGTTGCTCGGTCAAAGGCGTTACTGGATTGTGACACTGGTCTGTTCAATTATCCTCCCTCAGCTTCCGGAATGGAACGGAAATAGATGTTTGAGACCTTTCATCCTCATCTGTCTGTAATTCTTAATAATGTTTTGTCGATAATCGTATCGAATGGTGGCCCCGGGGC